ATGCGCCAGCGAATCGAACGATGTACCAGCGACTCAGCACTATTCGAAAGTTGCGGGACCCAACGTTCAAAGGAATACTCGCCACTTTCATCACTTTCAAACAGTGTGTCCTTTAGAGTGGATTTCCTTCAAACGTTGGGTCCCGCCACTTTCAAACAGTGTCGAGTTGCTGGTACACCGTTCGACTCGCTGGTGCATCGGTCGGATTCAGCGATTCGCTAGCGCAGCAGGCAAGAGAATTTGCTGTTGCTCGATTCGCAAACTATGACATGACTTCGGCCTTATGCGCTGAAATCCGAGGCCGCGCGGCGCAAATGCGATTCCAGAACCACCCAGCTTGTGTGTGCCCTCTCAGCGAGATATTGGTAATACTAGTGCGAATGTTATAAAAAAAACCGAGACCCAGTATGAGTATAGCTAGCTCGGTACAGGATCAACCGTTCATTGTTCCAAGTTCATCGAATGGTATTTGAAAATTTTAGAGTGGAAGCCGTATTTGAAAATTTTAGAGGGGTTCTAGTGGTGGAAGTAGGAGGCGTATGATGTCCCTTGCAGAGGGGCCGTAGGAACTTTACCTTAGAGTCTTTCATCAGGTTTATCGCAATTTTCAGGCGCTGACTTACCGAATCCACACATATCAAACGCTTCAGCTATACCAACGTCAAACTGCATTTTTCGAAGCGTATCCATTACCTCGACATCATTGAGCACTTCTGAATAAAAAACTCGTTATTAAACCAGGAATTACGTAGAGGCGCATTCCACCTTAAATTTTATGCACGCTAAGCTAGTGGATAGGAACATAGGTGCAGATAGAGGTGAGTATGTCATAATTGCGAGAGGAGTGAGCTTTGCAAGAGTGATTCAAACATGGCTTGCTGTCAGGTCCGCTTCGCCTGACTCCCCTGCTCTTGTCTGCGCCCTCTAGCCTCTACCGTCCATCATCTCGTCTCCATGCTCTTATGCCCAAAGATTCTCAGGCGTAGCACGTCCAAACGTCTAAAACAATTATGAAGTGAGAACTCTAAAAGGGTGCTTTAGTGTTTTAAGCAGCCTCTAATGTTTCATTTTGCCAATATTCCCTTGAAAGGTCACATAGCACCTACTGCTTCATGTTTCCACGCCACTACTCACACGGTAAAGGTGGAATGTTCTTTAACTCTGGAAGTCCTCCGCAGTGCAAAGGAGTCTGAATTTGTTGGTCCCCACTTCTTCTCTTTCCTCTTTTTCTCTCTAACGTCAATATCGCGCAGTAGCATGGTTCCACCTCTCATAGAAAAACTATTCTGTCTGAGCTTGTACGCCCTGCAAGACTTAGGAAAAGACCAATCAAAGAAGGAGAAACGAAAACCTCTCGCTGACCAGGAAGGTCTTTCAGGGCGTGCCAAGCTTTTTGAAAACGGTCTTTTGCATGATATAGGGGCACATGCGGGAACCACAGAACCATGGTTAATTTTTCCTGAACGGCCTCTCTGAATACCAGAAAAGGGGTCCCTAGTTCGATTCCTCGTGGTGACAAATTTTTGCATTTCGAGTTGACGTTCCAAAATTCGCGCAAAATGGAGTTAGCATGAATAATTAGTACCATATTCATGATTAGGACCGTCAGTAACCCTTACAAAAAGACTTTGACTTAAAAATTGGTGTAAGAGGTGTGACACCAAGCAGCCCCACTGTGGTGTCACACCTTTTTCACCAGTTTTTTAATCAAAGTCTATTTGTAAGGGTTACTGACGGTCCTAATCATGAATATGGTACTAATTATTCATGCTAACTCCATTTTGCGCGAATTTGGAAACGTCAACTCGAAATGCAAAAATTTGTCACCACGAGGAATCGAACTAGGGACCCCTTTTCTGGTATTCAGAGGGCCGTTCAGGAAAAATGAACCATGGTTCTGTGGTTCCCGCATGTGCCCCTATATCATGCAAAAGACCGTTTTCAAAAGCTTGGCACGCCCTGAAAGACCTTCCTGGTCAGGTCCTTTCTTCTTTGGTCTCGGTCGCTACCCTCCTGCAACCGCTCGTGAAGCCCTAACGAAAAAGGAGAATATTCAAGTCAACCACGTTCGTCTATTCTTATCACGGGTTTCCCCGTCTTTCCAAAAGTCGCCTTGCGTTTTTATTTGGTACTATTCTGACACTTACAGAACGTACCGAACTCATCCTTTCATGGCAAAACAACTACAAAAGATAAGAGTGCGAACTGACTAATACAGTGAATGCTCAAATAAGCAAAAGGAGGACAGATTAAAAGCCGACAAAAGCTGTGAAAGGATTTTAGTCAGAACGTGAGTTAGAAGAAAACTAGGAGAAAAACGAGGTCTCATCCAGTAAGGGGGGGGGCATTGTGATGCAACGTCAAGTGGCTGCCCTCACCCCCCACCCCCTAGACTGCCTTCACTCCCCCTGGCTCACGGGGTCCCGTACTTCGAGAAACCTGTGCGCCAGGGGGAGTGTAGGCAGTCTAGGGGGGTGAGGGCAGCCAGCTTGATGCCCCCTTACTGGATGAGACCCGAAACACTTACTTTCACACTGCCACGTGAAAATTCTTGCTATCTGCATCCAAGCTGAAAGTAGTTGTATTTTAAACGTAGTGACATAAAGTGAATTTACTAGCACAACAGGAAAAAGGATAACGAAAGAAGCGCCACTCATTTCTACTGCCATTCAGAATCAGTAGCCCATACCCTTTGACGACAATTGCTGGATTTGCGGGCCTCATGGACCACGCCCTCGTTTCGGGCGGCAAATCTCGGCCAGACATCGGGACAGAATTTACATTGAAGGCAGTTTTTCTACCCGATTTTTGACTTCAGCAGTACACAAAATATAGATACAGATTTCATATCAAAAATTGTTGGGAAGCAAACTGATTGTCTGAAAAGGGGACTCGAACTTCAAAGAAATAAGGATAAAAGCGCGAGTTTTTCATATTACATAAGATTTGCGACATTTTAAATCCATCTTGTACATGAAGACTATGACAAGACGAAGTCCCGATCAATAATTAATCTTCAGTCTAGTAATGCAAAACTTCAGTAAAAATCAAATGTCTCACGCTGAAATTTCGTGTAAATTAGTTCCTATAACACACTTCTATTAAGCATGCTACACACGTAGAAGCTTCGTATAATTACCAGAATGCAAAATATTTCACTGTGCAAATAAGAATCGTTTAGATGGCACTCCCCAGAGGGCGGAAGTGGTGTAGTGACAAGTGGCGCGCTTCACCACGCGAGCGGTCCGGGATCAAATCCTGGGTCGTGAGTCGCCCGGGCCAACCAAGCCTTCCATCCCTCCGGGTCGGTTAATTGGTACCAGACTTGTCTGGGAGGATAAAAAAAACACTGACTTGAACATCGGCTGGCCCCCGCAAGTCATTGTATCATTCAAACGCCACTACGAATGTACAAATGGAAGTAGAATGCGTGCCGCATCCCAAAAAGGGATTGATCAACGGCAAATGCTTTATCCTTTATCCTTATAATATTTCTCGTGCGTGTCTGTATCTCACAACTAAAACTTGCCTTTGAATATCCCTGTTCCCAAACTTCCCTCCCTGTCCGCTCAGGTAACCAAAGGAAGACCACAGCCTTTTATTACCTTGGGTTGGGTTAGCAACCTGTTTGAACTCAATTTTCCAGAACACCCCTTGTTTGATTGCTCTAAAGCCCTAAAAGATCATGCTGGAGGCCTCTGTTGCATTTCCAGCAGGAAATCTGACTCTCAAGGGCACTGCTCGAAACCCAAAGCTAGAGAAAATTAAGGAAAGCACTTTCGGCAAACTCGTCCAAAAGCGCCCGCACATCGAGTCCTTCGCTGCTGTTAAGGAGGGAAGATGTCTGTTGTATGTCTAGTTTTTGGCTTTTTGCCATTTTTCCGTCACTGGAGTTTCAAGCCACAGCCCTGCTGTCATTTTCAAGCGCCATAGACCCTCCAACTCTATCCTGGCCCGTGCCTTTCAAGAACCTCACCTCTATCATCCCAAATGCTGACGGATCCATGCTCCACAACTTGCGCGCAAATCGCGCCTTCTGGACAAACATTGCCGCCGTTCGATTGTCAGGCGGTACCACGATGACGTTTTTTGTCGATCGAAGACCTGTGTCCTTCATATCGGGATCCATTATTGGCATCAACACTGTCTGAAAAATAGAGCTAGTCACACAGCACCTGAATCAGCAATCAATGAGAAAAATTTAAATTTTATTCAACTGATTTTTTGAGTCAATAAAGTTTTATTTTACTGATTTTTCGAGTCACTGACGGAGGCTGAGCGGTGATTGGCACTGGTGGAGTTGTGGCCTTTTGATAACGACGAATTTGTCGAAACGTTAGGCCAATAAGAGATGTCACCATCCTAGACCTGTTTGCACAGAAGCAACAATAAACTAATGGTTTCTCTTTTTAAAAATATGATCAATAGCTCATGCACCAATATTTAGCAGCCACCCTGCTTGGTTATCGCTTTGAGCTTCTGCATGCTTCTGTGGCTCTTTTTCTTCGTAGACTCTCTGTACAGGAGGGTTTCTGCCTACGATACAGTAGCGGTCAAAAGTGTTCGCCGAAACGATTTTTAGTACACTATTTTTTTCTCGCTTGAAGCAGAGCACCTCTCCAAGAGATTGATATGCTATGTTTCATCAAGAAACTGGTTGTGAATAAACCTTTGGCCCCATGCGTGACTAGAACTCGCACGCTCTCGCTTTTCGGCAGGCGCTACCATGTTTATCCGCTACCGACCGGCACCATGTCAACTCAGCTTCTACATGTATAGCGACTATTTCTATTGTTTCCACATCCTCAAAACTTAAAAGAATTAGGATGTGCGAATTTTTTTCGAGTCCCTGCTCAGGTTAGTTTTTTTTTGGCAAAAAAAAGGAGGAGCCAGCGGAATAGCCGCTTTCACGAAAACACTTTGTCCCGCTACTGTAATGTCAAATGCCTTTTTATAACTTGGAACATGAATAACAAGGAAGCAAATAGCATCGTAATATTCGGAGCCGCGTCTAGCTCAGTAAGGGAAGGCTATATGTAGTGTTGTTAGTTATATGTAGTCACATACCTGACTTATGGCCCAGCCTCGGTAAGACACTCAGCTTATTTGTCCCATAAAATGGCGAATGAAATGGTCCGAATAAAGGCGAGACGACTAAGATAGTTGTGTAGGCGCAGGATAGTATTCTTAATCCGATGGCAGCAACAGTGACACCAAACCACATTCACTGGAGAATGCTCAACTCTGAAACCTTTTCGTGAATATTATAGAGTAGTTTTGTTCCAAAAATGGTAAACAACATAGCGAACCGCCTAAGATATTATGCATTGATATGGTCAGAGTACGTAAGGCATAAAATTCGCAATCGCGACCTAATTAAGAACAGAAGAATAATTCTAAAAAAGAAAAATCAATTGAATAGTTCATTGTATCAAATTCTCCCTGCCGTGAAAATGAACTAGTGGTAGTCAACGTCGAGGGTAGGACCACCTTCGCAACGCTTCGAACGTTCTCACAAAAAGCCAGCAACTCGAGAGGCATGCATGAGCACTTAAACACGTGCCTATCGTCGCGAATGTGTTCGTGTCTGCGTCTCGCCTGTACCCTGTACTCTCTCGCATTCAAGCCCTCTCTCGTCTCGGCGTACAATTCCGCTTCTTCTTCATTGTCAGATCAAAGAGCATCTACTTTTCCATTTCTAGACCCCCACCATCACGTATGTAATGACACGAAGGGTTCCTTTAAAAAGCCCCTAAACCTGACGACAAAAACGTGTGGCAGACTAATCCCAGAAGTTGGCGTTCCTTGAATATAAGCAGGAACTGAAACGCAAAAAACATTCCGCACTGAAGTTGGACGCGAAGCGCACAGTGGAAGTTGCGTCTTGTTATCATGAAAAGTCGGAAAACGGAAATCGGAACTTCACATCAATGCATATAATAATTAGCCTTCTTAAACAAGCTTTCTCGAGAGTGGACCAAAATAATGCTTGATAAAAGACTGGGATCGCCATTAGCCCAGTTCAGGCTTTCAGAAAGCGTATCGAAAACTTCAGTGTGAATAATAAAATATGGTTGAGCTATGGAACTCGGGCTGTCCAGTAGTGATTAAGAATGACGGGACGTACTCAACGGGCAAAACAACTTTACGGACCACCCACCCTTCACGCACGTTTTCTCCTTATCACTAAATGTCTCGATTCGGAAATAATCAGTAACTTTAGTTTCTAAACAGCATTCAAATGTGTCAAGAAATCGTGGTAAAGAAAAAATCGTGCTTGAATTTGCCAAAACTTTACTAGGAGTTTCAGGCCATGGAGCGCTTTTTTGAAAATGGTTTCTGCATATTGTAGGGGCTCATGCGAGGAACACAGAACCATGATCCATTTTTCCTGAACGCCTCCAGGAATGTCAAAACAGTGGTGAAGAAATGGTCCAGAGTTCGATCCCCGGTGATGACTAATTTTTGCAATATAGTTTGGCGCCCCAGATTGCCGCCAAATGGCGCCATCGTCGAGAATAGATGTCATTGTCGTGTTTTGCGGCAATTTGGAGGCGCCAACATAAATTGCAAAAATTTGTCATCACGGAGGATCGAACTTTGGACCATTTCTTCCCCGCTGTTTTGACATTCCTAGGGGCGTTCAGGAAAAATGGACCATGTTCTGTACTCCCCACATAAGCCTCTACAAAATTCAGAGTAAAGGCTGCCATCATTGATCGGAGTTGCTTCTCGAAAATATAACTTAGTAAAAACATGCATTTTTAATAATTTCCCATCTCACATTTGGATTTTTTTCTAAATTTTAATTTTTGTTGAACTAGAAATCCATTTAGTCTGATAAAAATAGTTAGATTTCAGTAAAAGCATAGATCTCAAATTTTCTAGCTTGAGTGGTCAAAGGAATACTTCGACTTCAGTTACGCCCTCGCCCTCGGAAACCAAAGTGGAAGAACCATCGTCCCTTCGTGCTCTCCACTAAGGAAGGGGAAAAGCGTTGAATTTTATTCTCAAAAATTACAGAATCTTTAATCAATTCGGAAGGTTAGTTGCAGGACAAAGTTTACCAAAACCTCAATAGCCTAATACAAGGAAAACTTTTCAATTATGTTGATAACTACAATACCTAATACTGTAAAAAGCACAGAAACTTGGCAGTCCTTTCCCTCTCCTCCCCCCTTCCCGCCCTCCTTTGCAATGGTAAACTAGTCACTGCAGGATTATTTCTCTTGCTCGGTATTTGCTACATCGTTAAAACGTTGACGACCGTGTGACATGACGTCATGCGACGATTTCACGCGGAAAAGACTGGTTTTGCGAGGCATTTTTGGGGTTTTCGCGGGCTTCAAAATGATACGTAAACATTTTGAGGTGCAGACAACATTTTGTTTATCATGCAATCATTGGCTGATCAATGGCCATTGATGAGAAAATACGAAAAAAGTTGCCGCAGTACTGTATAGTGGCGGTCTTGCATTGGTGAAATACCTGCTTCGAGAGAGAGGACCGTTAAGGTAGGCACGGTCGAAGAGGAAAGCTCAACTTAAGGCTGCGGGAAAAGAACATCAGGGCGGAAACCATAGCTGGTGTGCGACTAACACCTAATTTGCAGGCGAAGGATATGCCGATCTCTAGCGATCTAGTATGGCTGCTCAGCGGCGCCAAACAGCGGTGCAACGCCACCAACTGACCGACCACTCCGCCGCAGCTCCCCAGCCGTTTAGCAGAGAAAGAGAGCGTAAAGCGATGTAGAAGGCATCACCGAAAGTCACATCATTTGGAGAAATCACCTGCAGTACATCTTTCACAAATCGACAATGTTGGCGACGGGAAGCGATTACACTTGGTTCTTGGAATGCTCTCTTCCGCCTGTGGCGAAAACATTTCTCTTTTCCGCTGCATCCTTTTCTTTCAAGCATTTTGTCCCTATTCCCCAAATTGGTCTTCCGCCTGTTCTTTCAATGCGTCGCCTGATACGTGGCCGTCCCAAGAGGAACTTCTTTCCATGCGTTCCCTTGTCTCCGCCCGACCTACCCTCGACCGTCCATAGAGTGTGATTTTCGTAAGTTTGTTTCTCTTCGGAAACTGAATCTTCTCGCGAAACTTTGTATGTTGTTCTAGTGATCACAATTGACATATTCATGTTGTGAAATGTGCAAAGAAGTTTTTTCCCTGAACTTTCTGCAGGCGAAGCTTGTTGTACTATGCCAAATTCTCTTGTATACTCCATGGGCGGAAGTGGTGTAGTGGCAAGTGGCACGCTTACCACGCGAGCGGTCCGGGGATCAAATCCTGGGTCGTGAGTCGCCCGGGCCAACCAAGCCTTCCATCCCTCCGGGGTCGGTTAATTGGTACCAGACTTGTCTGGGAGGATAAAAACACTGACTTGTACATCGGCTGGCCCCCGCAAGTCATTGTATAGGCCACATCGCATTCAAACACACGAATGTACAAATGGAAGTAGAATGCGTGCCGCATCCCAAAAAGGGATTGATCAACGGCAAATGCTTTATCCTTTATTTTATATTGACGTAATTGCAACAGATAGCGCAGTGGTTCCGTCCATTCCATCAATTTCTGTAGAATTGAGATCGCAACCCCTTCAACAAAAGTTTCCCCCACAGCACAAACCTGGTTAGAAACGATGATCAGAATTCCATTTGGTCATCATGAATGATTGTTCAATCAGGTAAGATTCCGAAATTTCTACAACGGTGAATAGGAGCTAAGGCTTGGCGATGGACCAATTCATTGTCATGGTAATATTTGCAGGTTGTTTTCCCCCGTTCTGAAAAATGTAATGAAGTGATTAGCCATGATTGAAAAATCCAGCAACACGTCACAATTTGCGATGCCGCCCTTTGTAAGCCAGTACTCCTGAATAAAACGACGCGCATTATAAACGTTTTTATAGGAACTGTATTTTTATGGAGAGAAAGGGGTAAAAATGCTACGTCAACGCATCCGCTCCTGTCAGAATCGCAATGGCACCTTGGCCAATACAGTGATTTCGGCGCCAGCCGATGCCGTTGCGGGCTATTTTATCCCACGAGACAAATAAGCACTCTAGCAGATTCAACCACCCTGACGATAGAAGGCTTTCCCGATGATTCGATTTTCTACTTTGTACAGGATTCCGATCCATGACATCCCAATCGTGCACGCAAGACAGCGGCTGAATCCTTGCCATTGTTGACACGACCCTAACTGGGTGAATGTTTATAATTTACCAGATTGGTCCCCCGGCAACCACCGGGACCTCCTTACCTGCGTAAGCTTTACTCCTTCCAATGTGCTCCCATCCACTGGTGACATGGACACCTCGTGGAGGTGGCACGCATGCACAAAAAAGTGTCTTATATAGTAGAAGGCATTACCGTAATCGTGACATGACCTTAGAAATGATATTAATTGGACCTCAGGTCTTTTGGCGGTTAGCTCCCCTCGCCCTTCTCCATCTTATCCTATTCCCTCTACTGCTCTCCAGCTGCTATTGCAGCATCATGTGGAATGAATGAGACCATGCTCAGTAGGTGTTTATATAGCCGTTGGGGTGTTATCACATTGATAGCACTGCAAAACATTGATTGCTAAAGTCATAGTTACTCGATTTTGTTAACGGTCTGTTTACTTCACGAGTTTCCCTACCACTTCATTTTGCGGACGGACACACATACATACATACATACATACATACATACATACATACATACATACATACATACATACATACATACATACAGACATACAAAACCGACACACAAAGTTAGCGCTTTATAAAATATTTGACATAATATCGTTTCTGGACCACTTTTCAAAAAACTGTCTTGATGTTGGCTTTTAGCAGGTTCTCTCTAGAGGGAGCTGTGCAGTGCAGGAAAACAATATTACTGTAATTTTTATATGCCGAAATGAAAGGTCTACAGAACTTTTTAAAAAATATAACTGGGCTGTATAAATAAAATTAATGATTTAAGATCCCGGTTGTTCTGTTTACAATCTGTAGGTTTTTATTACTTTGTATTATTTTAATTCTTTTTAAAAAATTTATCTCTATCAATTTCTACCTTTTGGGAATTTCTGCTCAAATCGTTAACCATACTCCTTTGCAGCTGCGTTCCGGTAAGTATGTGGCAGCATAGCATACTCGCTTCATTTTTTGACAGGCAAGATTTCGTAATAATAATGTATCACAGCTGTCGAAACATACATCAAATTGGTGCGACCTTTAAAAAATCTCCGAGCGAAATCGAGAAATTTTCGTTGTCGTGCCTGCTACGAAATATGTACTTACGTAGGCTTGAAGCAGTTCTTCTTGTGGCATAAATAGCGCACCGTCTTGGAAGAGCCGCAACAAATCGAGAACACCGTTGGGAGGAGGTGCTGCTCTGGTGATGAGATTAAACAGCGATTACGGTAATATCATGGTAATCAATTATGAAAGCAGACGTGCAAGACAGTAAGGCAACGAGGGAGGTCAGAATAAACCCTTGAAGTGAACTGGTTCTCTGTACTGTAAGTTGACCTAAAATGACTTTGCTTTACGGCTTGGGTGCTTGTCGTTTGAGAGATTGAATTGATAAAGAATAAGAAACAACGAAGTTACATAGTACGTTTGCTTTAAGCAATATTCTTTTTCTGAATGCGAGTTATATATGTAATTACTCTGAAGAATACTTCGTGGCGTAGAAGCTTCGTTTCCCACGGGGAGAGCGTCCCGCTATAACAAACGAAAGCAAGTCGCAATCCGCAGCCGGATTGAAGAGATGTGGGCGGGGCGGTTTTGGAGGCGGCGCGGGTTGTTTTCTTCAGTGGCTGTATGTAAGCGGCGCACCTTTTCGCGGCTAACCCTACCTCGCTTCGATTATATCCTGGCTACTGTAATCACTACTCCATATATTTCCCTGTGTAGACCCCCCTGATCGTACTCACTGCTTTCAAAGTGTGCAGTAATAAACGAGCAGCAGCAATTTGTCTCATTACAGAAAAAATAGAACTAAGCACCGAGATTTTTCGCTTTTCACATTGAGTTCACTAGGCAATAGTGCTCTTGAAAATTAGATTGAATAGGGTTTTTCTGAGCGTTGAGGGCTGTGTAATGACAAATGTCGCGGATTACATTTGATTCCTGGGATCAAATTCAGGATGAGGACCTAATTTGTTCAACCTGGCCTCCGTCCTACCGAGCACGGCCAATAAATATTAGATATGCCTAGATGGAAACTGCGAGAGATAAAGGATGAAGACTCTGCTTGTATATCAGCCTTCCCCCCCACTGATTAGCCTGGATCTTATGAATAAAAACTACGAACTAGAATTAAACAACCATTCATAGGCGGAAGTCTTTAAGAATGTTTCTCTCCCTGTTTGAAATGTTCTTGACGCTTCACTCCTTTGTGAGCTGACTGTAGTTATAGCACGAAGACTTATTCTGCAAAAGCTTTCAGGAAAAAATGCGAAGAAAGAAGAAGAAAAAGACTAAAGTACTTTGTAATTGCGGTTAAAACTTCATTTATGGCTTTTTCCAAAATTCAATACACGCCTCCGAGTGATAAATAAATGCGGAAAAGTTAGAATTCAAAGCTCAATGCAATTCCTTACTACATGGACCAGTTGACAACGTCGTGTGAACGGTGGTTCGGTGGTCTTCCATCGTCATAACTACTACCTTTGGATAATGTTAAAGGAATTCTTCCGCGGAAAAGCTCCGCCTCCATTACCACAGAAAAACGATACCCCTAAGCCCCTAGCCTCATGAGCATAGCAAAAAGAACGGTACCCCCAGGAGGCCCGTCGCGCGGCAAGAAGGCAGAGTCGGCGGACGAGTTGCAGCGCGTGGTGTGCGATGTAGGACGTGCAGTGGGACACTCTATTTAACTTGACGCGAAATCCCTATAGTACGCGCGCGACTCGTCCGCTGACTTTGCCTTTTTGCCGCGCGACGGGCCTCCTGGGGGGGGGGGCACAGCAAAAAAGAACGGAACATAAGCGTTAGTTTCGATAATACTAATCCTACACACAAGACAAAATGATCACTCTTTCCGTGGAAGATTCCTTTAAGGTATCGTTTTCTGTGGTAATGAGGGCGGAGCTTTTTCCGTGGAAGGATTCCTTTAAATAGACCGAAGAAACTGCCTAATAGCTTAGAGCTAGACATGAGGTAGGCCTCCTTAAGCTCGACGGTGATGGTGAACGACTTCAAATTTTAAGAACGATGAGGGCGGTGAGTAACGGTAAATTCGGGCTAGCGGAAGGTTGGCGAAGCGGAAGAAACGCTTTGGTATTAACCATGATGCTTTGTGCGATGAAAGTTTGCTGATTTGCGCATGAGCAAAGTTTTCGAGCCCCTGTCTCAAAAAATGAATATCTAACGCTAGTGTAGCGATCTGAAAATGCCCACACTCTTTACAAGTCTGTATGTCTGCAGATAAGCCGTCTTCGCGAAGTCTTCATTTGCATAACGCTTCGAACCGGTGAATAGCGTGTAGCTAGTGGTAACTATTATCATTTACTCAATTTACAATCGCAATTTCCCTGAGTCACCCGAACAATAATATACAACCAGACCACCTCAGGAATGGAAAGTATGACTGCCTGAGCTGAAGTTGAAATTGTTAAGTGCCCCAAATTTTGCAGTATAATATAATAAAGGATAAAGGATAAAGCATTTGCCGTTGATCAATCCCTTTTTGGGATGCGGCACGCATTCTACTTCCATTTGTACATTCGTAGTGGCGTTTGAATGCGATGTGGCCTATACAATGACTTGCGGGGGCCAGCCGATGTACAAGTCAGTGTTTTTATCCTCCCAGACAAGTCTGGTACCAATTAACCGACCCCGGAGGGATGGAAGGCTTGGTTGGCCCGGGCGACTCACGACCCAGGATTTGATCCCCGGACCGCTCGCGTGGTAAGCGTGCCACTTGCCACTACACCACTTCCGCCCCTTAATCGTATAATGTAAGTATACGGCGGTTTGTTGCTGTCCAAAACACGAGCAACCGTATGACCAATATAAAAATTTTGATTGGTAGTTTAAGTTAAAGCCTTGGCCAAGCTCAAAAAAGTGTGAAAGGCTTGAATGAATAAAAAAGCCATTCCATTCAAAGGAGTAATGAACGAGCTGACACCAACTGCATAGAATGGTCTGCCCCATAAATAATTGGATATATTTTCTATTACCACCCAGCAAAACATCTGTTACTTCCAATTTGCATGAGGTATAATGTGCTTTCCCATTATACCTCATGCAAATTGACTTTCTACTATCTTTCTTATCATTTATGGGCGGAAGTGGTGTAGTGGCAAGTGGCACGCTTACCACGCGAGCGGTCCGGGGATCAAATCCTGGGTCGTGAGTCGCCCGGGCCAACCAAGCCTTCCATCCCTCCGGGGTCGGTTAATTGGGACTGGGAGGATAAAAACACTGACTTGTACATCGGCTGGCCCCGCAAGTCATTGTATAGGCCACATC